ATCCCGCACCATTTGTGCATAGTACGCAGGTGCGCCATCTTGTTGAAACCAGACGGTACTTAAGAACCCAGCGGACTCTAGTTGCGGAATGACGCAATATTGCAGTAATTCCTTGCACGAGGATGCTAGAAAGCGTAAGGCATTAGTACTGTGAAACAACCAACCGATCACAGTACCGGAAAAGAAAAATGGTCCCACGATTCTTTGGCCAGTTAACCCAGCCCATTGGCTTTGCGCCATGTTGTATACGTGAAGCGCTGCATCGGCTGCTTCTCTGCACCGTGCAAACGGAAAACAGCTTCATCAGTAAAAAGGAATTGAATGCGTGTCTATTCACCTCGATCATTAGACCAATCCTTGAATATGGTGCTCCAGCTTACCATCTGATAACCCAGTGGGAATCTGAAAAGCTGTAGAGAGTGCAGCATATCGTAACTAGAATGATACCGAGTCTACGAAAGCTTCCGCATGAAAGACGTGAAAGTCTCGGGATCTACATACTATTCTACCACCGAGTAAGAATTGACCTTTGTATGACTCATCGAGTACTACACTTGAATCGCTTCCCCTGACTGCGGCCAATAATCACCTGCGGGAACAATGTAATACCCGAAGACACCGTTACAAACTCAGGGTGCCCTGCATGAGCAAGGTATCACATCAGCTTTGTAGAGAACGAAGAATCGTAAACTTATGGAATTCAGTACCGGAAGGATTAATAGAGGCCGATTCTGTGAAATGTGTTAGAACACGTATCGACGAGTAATTTGGAAAGCTGTGCTTTTGTGAAACGGTGCAATCGGTGAAAACGGTGTGAAATGCTTTCGCACACGAGTATGCAGCAAACCTACCTTACAACATGTGCACACACTCTGTACAGCTCGCCTTCAGGAGTTTGAGGACCTGTGTAACCGTCGTTTAACCGGTTCTAAGTTAACCCGTCCAGCACCTGTTCATTAGACTCTTGAATCGTAGTGACATTGACGTTTACGTCCATTGATCGTTTCACGCTATTCCGCGCTAGTTTTTGTCTGCTTGAAAGCACAGGTAAACAAGATTTGTTGTTGTATGTAACTGACTTTCTGTAACTAACACAATAGATCTTAGATCCACTCCGTGTTTTGAACGATTCGCGATCGGCTATTTTGCCTATCGAAGCATAATGGCCCAGGGAAAAGACCTCTAAGATTTAACGCTGAAGGAGAAGACTAATCTGCTACATTTAAAAAGCAGCAGCCAAAAAAGACGGTAGAACACTTTAGTGTTAGCAAGACAATAGTTAGGAACATCCAACAGCATAAGCTTGAGTACTTGGAGAGAGACACTAATGAAAGATCTGCAGCGGAAGAGGCAGAAACTTCACACGATGAAGTCAATAAAGCTACGTTGCGCTGGTTCAAACAAATGAGAGCTGTGAATGTTCGAATTGCTAACCTTTTCATAAGAGTTTGGGGTTGCAGATTTTCAACCATCCAGTGTTTGGCTAAAGAAATTTAAACTGCCATATGATATTTACCAAAGAATCCTTTGTGGTGAATCCAATAGTTTTTGAAGAGTTTTTTCAAGAATTCACAGAAAAATTTCCCGACTTCGGCAAGGGTTTGTTAAAACCCTTTCCATTTTTAATGCTGACGAGTGCGGTCTCTTTTACAAAGCGATGCAGAAGCCTTGCTATAAAGGGTGATAAACGTAAGCGCAGGAAGCATCCTAAAGAACATCTTACATTATTCTGTATGCTAGCTCAAGTGAAGAGAAGTTAAACCCATTGGTCATTGGTAAGTCAGCTTGACCATTATGTTCGAAATCGGCGTACTGATTACCTTCCAGTCACCTGAAGATCAAACCAATCTGCATAATTGTTTGCTGCTTTATTTGACCAGTGGATAGGAAAGATCTACTGAAAAATCATGAAGTAGAAACGACTCATTTTACGAGCAGTGGATAATTGTTCCGCTCATATCCTTGTCGATAATCTCGCGAACATTACACTACCATTTCTGCCTTCAAATATGACCTCAAGAATGTGGCTTTCGACCAAGGAATCATCAAAATATTCAAAACACATTACAGAGCCCAGCTGATGCAATGGGTTATAGCAAAAACGAATCCAGTTATTTGCATTCGGACAGAACTTAATCTACTGCTTCAGTTAGTGCTCTGGATGCTATGTTCTGGATACGTTCCGCTTGGTAGTAAGTTCAACCAGCAAAGTGCTTCAAGGAAGCTGAATTCGTTCAAACCCTCGAGCGTGATGCTGTTGGTTTCATAGGAATTCCATCTCCCATTACAGATTTCGAGGGAATAGATTTTCAAGACTTTGTTGAAATGGATGATGACTTGACATTCTGCACTGAACCAGACCCAGATGCTATTTTCATAGTGATACTGACTGCGGTACACCCCTACGGCATCAAACAAGAAGCGCCTGATGACGCGGTAATACTAACTAAAGATGACGTTAGAACCACCGAAACTCCAAATGTGACTAATGTCGGACATCTTTTAATACAACTGAAACCATTTGTTATGAAAAAATGTCCAATCATGCTGAGTAGCGTAGCTTGTGTCGAGAGCACATTTTCAGTTACCTTTTTGACAAGAAACAGATTAAGCTTTCTATTTCCTCAAGAAATGATTAAACTTGCGAAATCCACGCCACTTTTTTATTTATTATAACACTGTATGGTTGAATTGCGTTTGACTTTACGTCCGATGTGTTCGAAACGGGTTCATGTGAAAATAGATTTCATACTGTGCTACTCACAACGGGAAAGTAGGCTACGCTAAGTTTTGACATTGAACCTCGTATGTTGACTACCACTCTGTGTTGACTACTTTGGTCCAGCTCCTTGGGTGGTCAGCTTACGGAGGTTCTACTGTATATGAAAAATGGGACAAAAATACGTTCTAGAGTGCAGAAAACCAACAGGTAAAATATTGCTTGGAAACATGCTTCAAGACTGGGATCGTGGTTGAAATGAAAACTAAGCTGGAAGGAGATGCAAAGAAACTCACTACACAAACACCATTGTCGTCGGTTCTTCGTCACATTAACAAATTTATCCAACCAAACGTGTTCCTCTTCCGCGGGATCTAAGCCCAGCCATCGTCACCCCGGCGCGAAAACAACGCACATCGCAGGAGATTGTGTGCGGGCATTCGCAACACGTGGCCCAGCCATCGAAGTCAGGTGCGTGATATAACGTTGAGCTGTTCACCCACTTTTCCTGCACCATATATGCGCATCCGAACATGCACAATGCTCACCAAGTACACAGTCCTGGTCGCCTTTTGCATACACGTGGGTTCTATTGACCCGTATCAACGCGGGAATTGCTGAATTCGAACCGCAGCGCTTTTTGACCCAAAGAAATTTTCTGATTCTATGACGCTCCATCAGCCAATCATATTTCGTTCAACAACCGGGTTTACCTCAAGCACTGCTTACATCTACCTCTAACCTCGCGGCACTTATCATAGGTGCTGCTTGGTGGGGCGGTTCGGTATGTCCTCCAGCATCTAGACCTCTTTGTGAGCAGATACCTGCCAGCGGTATTAATCCCAGGGACTTGTGCTCGTATCTCCGTTCTCGTCGTGAGTGGGATATGACGAGCAGGGATTTCCGTGAAATAAGCCAAATCTGTCCCAGGCAACCTGAACCGTATAAGCTACCGAGATCTCGAAACGCAAATCTTTAGCCTTGGTTCGCATTGCCTTATAGTTCACACACTATTGGATACAACGTCTAGGCGGAACACACCGGAAGAAGCAAGCATGATCACTGGAGCCGTAAGTAATGTTACCTACAAAATCGACTGATTTGACAAAAACAAGGTGAGACTTTTCACGATGACGATTACATGCTGTGTGTGCCGGATAGGGTTGCATATTGATTAGAACACGTAGACACATTCCGAAGTAATTTTACAGAAGCGATGCGAGGTCTAATACCTCCATTATGTCACACCTCTTAGAGCGCGGTCACGCAGACTTGGAAACTTCAGGGTCATTTACTCTTCCTGAGCGTTTCTCACGCGGATTCCTGAAGCATCTATCTATTGCGGAAGAGATCTATATCCCTCACCTCAAGCCGGATTTGTGCGTGTCAATAAAAAAATGTGTCAGCTTATACGCCGTAACGGCGTTTCGCTGCCGCGCGACCACCACCAGTCGCGCACGGGCTGAGTATACCGCGAGGACGCCCACCCCTACGCGGATTCGAACCGGTGACCTTATGGTTGGAAAGCAAACGTGCCGACCACTCGACCACCGGCCGCGTGATTTATCGGTCCGTTTCCCTCGGGACTAAACTCAGTTTTGTTCAGTATTCGTGTTCGAATGTCGACGTCTTTTAATGCTTGTAGGCGACAAATGTATATGTATATATGTATATATATGTGTTGCTACCTATTCTCCCCCCCCCCCCGATGTTTTGCGCCGACTTGCTGTTTGATGAGTTCTATCACCAAGTAGGAGAGGGAAGACCAAATGATGACTTTTTCGAGGGAATGAAAGTCGTTACTTCTTATTTGGTGTCGGTTGGTTTCACAAGACTCCCACTTTCGGTTCCTAAATGCAATTAACACGTTTGGTTGGGTATGCTTGTTGACCTAGAGGAGAGCCGACCACAGTGTTGTTTGTGTCGTTTGTCTCTTCATCTCACCCACATCCCGCTGATCCTCCGCCTTCAATCTGGATTTTGGTACTGCGTACTATAAGACATCGTAAAAGTATTTTTCGTTTTACTTTGTCACTGTATCCTTTTCTTTTTACGGCCATTTTGTTGATTTGTATTGTGGCACAACAGCTGGGTGTTTCCCGCCACAAGATTATGTGTAGAGTGATGATTATGTTGATGGTGGTGTATACGGACCTTTTCTTATACCACTGACTTTAATCGGTATCATTATTTTATGTGTGCCTTAGTTTCTTAAACACACTTGCAAGCTGTTTCGTCCCAGTTTATCTTACTTTTATTTTGCGTCCACCTTGTTTACCAGAACTAGTCACGAACGCCATAAACGCCGGAGATGATGAAGTACTTCTTGTGATTGCACAAAAGCTGGGTACTTTTGCAGAGCTCGTTGGTGGTAAAGACTATGCGGCTTGCCTTTTGGTAAGTTACATTTGCTAACTCCGCGCTTTTTACTGTTGCAAAATTTACTACTGTTTATCCTGGTGTTATTGCGCTCATTCTTTCTCTATGCATTTTGTTGACTACTAGCTTTTCATAGCTAAATTTAATCACACCCAACTAAATACCATCTCCAAGTATCAGCTCCTGCTGAATTTTCATGTCAACCAAATGGTGAAACAATTTGGATTTTTCAGCATGACTTTATCACTTGAAAATTCAGGACTGTTGTCAGCAGCTTGAAAAGTGCAACGGGAGAGCGAAGCTCAGTGTATGCAAGCCTGTCGTCTCATCTTGCTAGTGTCGATGACCGTGACTCAGCGATTTGCAGTTGTCGTGGGTTACAAGTAAACAAACATGCGAAACCATAATTGCTTATTAACCTCAAGCCACCGAATTGAGTCCAACACACGATTGTGCTGTGTCATACTGCCGTCTTCTTCGGTTGTCTTGAACATATGAGCACTGCTTTCTTTTATCATTCCCTTTGGATGTTTGAACTTTACGACAAATGCGTAAGATGGGAAGTTACTGTTACCGGGACTTACGAGTCGACACGAAATGAAGGCATCTACTAAACTTGCTCTTTTCATTTTGTTTTTATCATTGTCAGAAGCCGACTCGTCTACCCACTCTTTTTTTGGTTACAATCTTGCCTGTTTGCTGTATATCCTGTGTAATTGTTCATTCATCTGGAATTAACAATCGTGCGAAAAATATTTTTTTCGATAAATTACTTCAGGCATCTACATTTATAAATGAAATTATGACACGAATAAGCTTGTGAAAGCCTTGGTAAAATAGGACAAATGAACATAGAGGAAACTACACTTCTGTCCAACTGGTTAGCTAAACATTATGAAATATAGATCAATGGTTTGCTCAATCAGACTAGGCGATATACGCAAATGCACTTGACCCACGCTAAACAACTAATACTGGAGCGACTTTGTAATCAAGACAACCTCAAAGTTTATGCCAGAGTCCGCTGTTTGCACAGTTCTGGTTTTAAAACTGATTGCGTTGGCCTCGGCGATGACTAGTAGATGTTTTGACCATTTTGTGTAATGTCTGCGGATGATATAGACCACTTTAAAGAGCAGTCTGATCGAGCAAACCATTGATCTATATTTCATAATGTTTAGCTAACCAGTTGGACAGAGGTGTGGTTTCCTCTATGTTCCTTATCCTATTGTACCAAGGTTTTCACAAGCTGTTTCCTGTCATAATTTTTTTAATAAATGTAGATGGTTGAAGTGATTTATCGAAAAGAATATTCCTCGCACATTTGTTAATTTCTGATCACCTTCATCTGGCTTTATAACCAATTAACTTTTACCTATCATTTCTTTCGATGCACATTCTGTAACAGCCCATTTTGGAAAAAATCATAAGCATGGTTGAAGAAGTCGTTGTCGCACAGGCTGCTTGTGATTCGTTGGTGGAAATAATCCCCAAGTTACCACGGGAAGACATCGAGGAAAAATGCGTTGGGATGATACGCCGAATTCTCGACGGTGAGTCGCTTTTTTACTAGTCATTTGCACCTTTGTTTCCCACATTTTGATATGAGATAGAACATCCACAATTGTTCTTTTACCCTCTGCGTATTTTTGCCCACACTGCTGTTTCGTTTTCCGGACCGCTCGACAACTTCCGTCATTCTCTTTTCAGAACCGAGCTTAACTGGTCTGGTCCATCCAATATCAGTTTGCATTAGTACTCTGCAAATATTTTACTGTTTGTTCCGCATATCGGTTGTACACTCTCTTCGACTTGCTATAGCATTACCCTTATTTCGTTATCAACTAAGCTTTGCCATGTTGAATAACGGTTTCATTTGACTTATGAGTAGGAAGAATTTAATTTTACTGTTTCGTCTCAGGATCTCACAAGCTACCCAGCACAGCCTAGCCCGGAAAAGCACCCAACGCGTTTCGCTCTATGCGGGCTCGTCAGTGTTGCGTATTCTTTCGGTCTACTATTGCGGACCCAACCCATGACCGCTAGAGGCAGATGCCAACTAGCCAGCAGCTTCAGCCCCTGAGCCATGGGGATGTCGGTTGGGATACCAAATTTGCAAGCTAACTGAGCTATAGCACGACCTGTTTTCCACTGACACGCAGGTAACTACCATAGCAGTTTCAGTTTTATTCAGAATGAAGTCTTGAACTAAATCAAGTATCTAGGCAGCGCGTTGGATGATGATAACACGAACCGTATACCAAAATCTCGATGCGATTTTACTAATCTTCGCCATCTGTGGTGCCAGCATGACGTTACTCTAGCTCTGAAGGGTAGAGTTTACAATGCAGCAGCTCTTACAACTCTCCTGTACAGCTGCGAAACTTGGCCCATCAAGTCGACAGACATAAAGAAGCTCGTCACATTCGATAATCGCTGCCTTCGCAGTATAGATCATGTCTCGTGGGGGCACCGCGTGAGCATTGTGCACGTTCGGCGTCACGTATTTGGTGCAGGAAGAGCGAATGAATCGCTCGGCACCGTTACATCACTCACCAGGCTTCGATGGCTGGGCCACGTGTTGCGGGTGCCAACACATCGACTCCCGCATCCTGCGTTGTCTGTGAGTCGGGGGTGTGGATGGACGAAGAGGAGTGGAGGCGAAGTGATGACTTGGTCACGAGGAATGAAGTGCCTCATTAAGAAGTTGGCCTCCGTTGGTGTTTCTGGACTGCGTGGCTGGGGACCGAAGGATGATAAACACGTGTGATTGGCTCCATTTGCTGACATGACGAAGAGCCAGACATCAGTGATGTTTGTGTTCCGTGTCTCTTTGTCCTTCCTCTTCAGTTTAGCTTCCCCTTCCAACAACGATCTCGAATCCTATGCGGCGTGCATTCCGCATCTTACTGCACTAAGGATGCCACCTCGCATGGTGGCGAAACGTTTGCAACAAAACCGTTAAACTCGGAGAACGAATGAACAATTGAATCATCAACTCGAGCTACCGGTATTCCGAAACGTTTCGGACTGAAACTACGTGCATCATCAGTCGAGCTAGTTGACGCCAGTGTTTTTTCTTTTTATTCCATATAATGCTGTTTATTTGCCGTCTAAACATCTATGAGGTTGTTTTGTTGACAACTTTCTGTGTAGCAACTTGACCTTGTCGTCCGGAAACACTTCTCTGCATCTGCGTTTTACACAGACCAGTCATTCGTCCTCTAAGTATTGCGACAATTTGTATACCGAACTACGCGATGGGTTGCTCCTACTTTGCCTTTGTTGCCATTCAGATCAGGGAGGCATATAAGGGTTTAGCCAACTCAATCCTGGTATACGCGAAGCTGACAGTTTGAAATTTGGTAGCACCTTTCCCCAAAATCAGCTATGCTAAACTGCTTTAGACGGAACTTAAGCTCTACAAGATGACTCACAACGAACCTGGACCTGATCTGACGGTTTACTTACGACTTTAGCCTATCGGCTTATGCTTAACTATGCTTTTCTGCACCGTGAGTTACTCAGTCAATTTTTAGATATCAGATGTACTGTCTCTCATGATTCATTTGGCCCTCATTTTTGCCGACATAGTCCGTTTTGTGGACTGTTGCCATATTTCTCCAACCTCACCATCAAATGGTAAAGTGTATCTTTTATTTAAATTTCCTGGCAATTTCCTTCTATTACGTTTGGCACCCTGTCAGTATCCCACTTCACACAGTCATGCCTTTCCCCACAAATTACGGCCTCATGTTGCATTGACACCGATCAACTTCAAAATTGGCACCTCATCCACTGCATACAGTCGGACGGATAGACGAAAACAGGCTACCGGTGGTGCCACTTTCTTTTCTATCTATTTCGCTTGCGATCCTCGGTTCCTGTTGCTCACTCTCGCCCGCCGTATGTATCGGCGACCCACTGTAGTCGTGTTCCTCGACATCAAAGGTGCCTTCGCTCCAGTTGCTCGATGTGCCCTTTGGGGCCGTCTATTCAGGAAGTGTGCCCGAAAAACACCTAAACACTATCATAGTGCTGTTCGCACATTGTTCTGGCAAAGTGAGGGCTTACGGCAAGTTGTCACCGATGTGAGACAAGCATGCCCGCTGTCATATCTCCTTTTTGACTTCTCCATCGATAAATTTATGGAAACTGCGCTCACTGGACATGACCTACAAGATGTTGAGCTGTTCCCAGGTGATGAACTTTTTGACCTTGTCATTATCCGTGACAACTCCCAAACCTGCTAGGCAGCATTGGTCAAATTAGCATGGGCTGTTAGTTATTTCGGGCTATGTTTTCAAGCTCTAAATGCAGTCCTTTTCCATGGTTGTCAGGGACGCACCTCTTCGCTGACCCTTACTAGTGATCAGCTAGAAGTCGTCGAGAAATTCGATTATTTAGGCCACCATATCAACGTCAGTGGAATGGAAGATGAGATCGGAAACCGTGCCGGATAAGCTCGAAATGCTTTTACCAATCTCCGCCACCTGTAAGTCCGACAAGACAGCACGTTCACTCTGAAAGGCCGAGTCTGCAATGCAGCCGTCTGTTCAACCATTCTATACGGTTTCGAAATCTGACACATCAAGTCGAAGTATTTAAAGAGGCTAGTTACGTTCGATCATTTCTACCTTCGCAGTTTAGCAATGAGCGTGTTCAGCATCGTGTATTAGGTGCAGGAAGAGCGAATGAACCGCTCAGCATCAGGCTCCGATGGCTGGGCCACGTGTTGCGGATGCCAACACACAGACTCCTGCATCCTGCGTTGTTTGCGCGCCCGGGGTGTGGATGGACGAAGGGGAGTGGAGGCGAAGCGATGACTTGGTCAAGAGGAATGAAGCCCCTCACTTCAAAGTTGGCGTCGGTTGTGTCTCCTGACCTCTGGGCTGGGAACCGAAGGATGACGGACACGTTCAGTTGGGTACACTAGTTGACATATCTGGGATTTGACCACAATGGCGTTTATGTTGTTATTTTCTTTATCCCTCTCTATCCTGCTTATCTTCCCACTCCAACCACCATCTCATTATTGAGGCATAGTAAGTTACTAAGCACTACGTCACCTGTTAGTTTTTTTGTTTTATACCATATTTCTAACAGTGGTTGAAGTATGCTTCTCTCCTTTAGCTAATGTCTAATGATATCTCATTATTTAGCTTTATATGATCTTGCACAATATTTTTTTTCTTTTTGGGTGCACAGCAGCCGGCTTTAGCTTACCGGAACGATGCCCATCCGTTACCGGTAGCTCAGCCAGCTTGCACCAGTTTTTTTCTCTCTCTCCTTTTTTTTCTCTTTGTATTGCGGCACAGTAGCTGAGGTGTTCCCCACCTCTAGCTAACGTGTATGATGATGATGATGATGTTGATGAATGTCTAATGATAATGACGAAGACTGGAATAACATTTCGTAGGGCATTTCCTCCGTGCTGCTGTAACATCTTCACCCGCTAAATCACCTGAATCGACACGAAAGATTGATGGTACTACTCCCTCTTTGGAAGAAATTCGGCATGAGTTTGCCATGTTGAAGCGAAACACGTTTCATGAACTTTTCGAACTTCATCTTTTCTAACGGATGGAGGTGACTCCTTATTGACTCACCACGATTACGGACACTGAGGAAGTGCTTTCATACTGTTGACTTTCAGAAAGGGTCGACGGACTTGGTGCATAAACCATCAAAGCATTCGCCTTCCTTCCATTGCCTTCTTACTTCTTACGGATATCATTCGTCGGCGGCTTACTGGTCCACGTGAGAGCTGAATTACTGAAAACCAGTCTAGCTTTCGCCTTGGTCTTGGCTGCATCGACCGCATGTTTTCTCTTCGTCAAGTGTTAGAGCATATATACAGACTAATAAATATGCTGGTTTTCTTTGACCTGCATGCTGCCTACAGCTCTTATGATTTAGCCTTCTTTTGGCAATGCTGACCCGTGAAGGATGCCTAAAAAACTCTTTTTCTTCTTAAGTCTCTCCACCTTGACTCCCGAGGCTAATTAAGGGCCTACGGAAACTATCTCCTGACTTCCCAACCACAAGTGACGTTCAATACAATTCCCGTATGTGTCCATTCCTTTTTAACTTTGTGATCAGGTTTATCATAAATGTCTCCTTTCTTTCAGTCATTCGTGTTTAAAAGTCCTTGCAGGTGACCTTAAGCTTACGGACGATTTTGATATCTTTGAGTCTGACGCAGTGGATCTGGAGGCACTACTGAACAGACTGACGCATAGCACTGTACGGTCCGGCACGTGCTTTGCACCTTCAAAGTGCAGACTATTGTTACAAAACTGGACCAACACGGTACGGCTACTGAAAGTGATCGCTCGGTTCAGTTACCTTGTTACCTAGTCAACTCAAGTCAAAATAACGTCTTTGAACCCTAGTGGATTCATTTCCAGAAACTACATTACTAGTGCGGATATACTGGAAGATAACGTCGATACAATTTACATAAACAAGGCAAACAACGAAACATGCAAAACTCTCAACTCAACATCCTCACGCGCAGCATGTTTATGACTTTCCTTGGGTCAACAGACAT